CACTGCCACGTGGAACTGGTAAAATCGGAACAAGGTAGCTGGATTCTCCCAATGCCATTTACGGGCTGTGGACACTGTATGCTATGCAAGGCACTGTCACGATGGGAAACTGGGTAGAAGTTACAAAGGCACGCTGCATTATATTTTACAAGTGCATGTGATTCTATAATTATCTCAAAATAAAGGGTGTTTTAAAAAAAAAGATAAACTGTCCAGACAGTTATCACTAAATTTTATTTGGAGCCAGTAAAGAAAACTTCCGTCACTTTCTATCCCCTTCGGGACCTACAAAGGGTCTACACTAGTGAAGGCAGGATCTGAGTTTTCACAAAGCAGACCATCCCAGGCTCCAGGGTGGCCCCGAGGGACCTGAGGAGCCAAACCATCCCACCTTCCACCTTTTCAAAGCCTGCCTGTACCATGGGTTTAAAGAGGTAAAATGAAATGCATACTCCTATGCGTATGAATACTTAAGATGTTTATAAAATGAGGTTAATTACTTTCACTCTCCTAAGTCAACAAAAGCCACCAGAGGAGGAAGTTTCATGGAACTGCTGTGATGGGAGTGGGAAGAGTCAGGTCCGGCTGCTAAAGCACCACCGCAGAGGCCGGCTCCTCGGTCTGCAGGGCCCGCCCGTCCAGCTGGCACACACAGCCAGCCACGGTCGCATTTGACATTCTGCTAGTAGGCATTCTTAAAAAGTAAAAAGAAACACGTCAGATTAACATCAACAGTACATTTTATTGACTGGCCAACAAACACATGAAAAGATGCTCAACATCACTAATTCTTAGGGAAACACAAATCACAGCCATAATGAGATACCACCTCACACCCATCGGGAGGGCTATGTCAAAAAGCCCAGAATAACCAACGCTGCTGAGGACGTGGAGGAACTGGAACCCTGTGCACCGCTGGCGGGAATGTAAAACGGTGCAGCCACATTCCTCAGAAACACTGAAACCAGAGCTACCCGATGACCCAGCGATCCCACTGGGAACATGCCCAAGAGAAGTGAGTGCAGGATCTCGAAAAGATATTTGCACACCTTTGCTCTAACGACATTATTCACGACAGTCGAGAGGGAAGCAACCCATATGTCCGGCGACGGACGGACAGCTGAAGAAACTGCGGTCTCCACATGCCATCCGGCCTTAAAGGGAGGGAGTTCTGACACAGCTGCAAAACGGGTGACCTTGACGGCATTATGCCGAGTAAAATAAACCAGCTACAAAAGGACAAATTCTGCAGGATCCCATTTAATAGAGGAACCTAGAAGAGTCAAAATCAGACACTGATAAAACGCAGGCTGCCAACAACTGAGGGGAGTGGGACGTGGGGAGTTACTGTTTAATGGGCATCGTTTCAGTTTACAAGATGAGTAAGTTTTGGGAATTGGTTGTACAACAGTGTGAATTTACTTTTAACACCACTGAACTGTATACTTAGAAAAGGTTAAGATGATAAATTTTATGGAATTTTTACCCCAATGACTTTTTTTTTACATTTTATCCACTGTATCCAAAATATCTCAACATATATTAGTATGAAAATGACTGGGGCTATTATTTCACCCTCTTGTTCATGTATAAGCCTGAAATTCCCATGTGAACTGACACTGACAGTACATCTGACGTGGACTAGTCCCGCCTGCAGGTTCAATGCCACCTGGGCTCCCTGCCAGGCCTGTCCTGAGTTAGACCTTCCCCGTCACCGCTACGTATCTGGAAGGTTTCTTCCTTGGACAGGTGACCGTGCTCAGGAAGCTCTTTGGCGGCTCTAGGCAAAGCCCGAAGGCCTCTGAACGTCTCCTGAGCACCTGTCTCCCTGCCAGGCCCTCAGGACCTGCAAAACATCGTGCCTCCTCTCCTCAGAACTCACACCCAAGAGAGGGGCGCGAGCAGGACCCTGAAGGACACAGAGAACACAGCTCCAATGTGCCGGGGAGGAGTGTGAATGTGAAGTCATTTACCCAAGTGACGCGTGGGAGTGCAGCACTAGCTTTCACCCCATCCTCACCTTTCTCAACTCGTACTTTCCACAGTACTGACACCACCTTCAAAGCGTGACTCTGGACAGCACTGAGTGCACGATGTGTGTGGAACACATCTGGTGAAAGTGTGCGCAACAGGAAAGGCACTCAGCCACCAGCAGCCGTCAGCGGCTTTGATTAAAATCATCATTCTTCCCGGAGAGAGCATCTGGCACTTCATCTTCCCGGGGTGAAAGGAGACTAAAACTCGGTCACGTGAAAAGTGATCTCCCACAGATATTCTTTGAACGCAGCATCAGAAAATGCCTCGGAGATGTGGAGGAAAATGTGAAGGTGTTGCTAGCTGCTGTGCGTCCCACACAGAAGGCACTTTCTCAGTAGAACAAGATGCAGGAACAACACTAATATACGCTGTCTCCACCCCGTGTCTCTGAGCAAAAACGATCTAGGACATGGGTGCCCCTGGCTAAGGAGAGCCCTCCCATAACCTCACATTCGTGCCCCGCTGGTGGAAAACGACCACAAAGGCGTCTTTGTGAAAAACGTATTTTGCAATACATTATCAAAAGCTTCATTGACAATCTTAATGGATGTGGTTGAGTAAGGAACAGTGAGTATGGCCCCAAAGAAAAGAACCAAGTCTACCAACTCAGCAAATGTCAGTGGCCTTCAGGAACCAAGCTATTTCACCAACATCCAGGAAAACGTTCTGGACTACAAAGATGTGATTCCATGGGATGGACCCTCCTATCTCACTGTCCTCTTCTCCCACCAGCTCCCAGAGCCCCCCCACCCCACTCAGCCCCTCCTCAGCTAATCTCCCAAAAACTAATCCTGAAAACTTACCTTGGTATGTTAACGTCAAACAAACTATAACTCATCATTCAATCCCCTGCATTCTGTTAGCACACCCATCTACTCAAGTGTCGTTACTATGAAATCACACCTCAGGATCCATCACTGTACTTCCAGGTGTAACCACAGCTTTGCTTAATAAATGAGATTGTGATCTCTAAGGGCCTCCATCTGTCACCTCAAGTAACGGTGCGAATACCTTCTCATTAGCTTGCTAAAGAATATGTCACCCAAAAAGCCATCATGCCACCCTCACACTAAAAAGTACACTAACTGGCCCATACCCGGTTAACAGGGAGAAGGAACTATTCCTGCGCATTAAGCCACCACCTGCAGAGACTGGTCTGGTCTGCAGTGAAACACTGTAACAGCTTCTGGAGGCTCCTTAAACGCATAGGTTGTTAAACACACACTCCACTGAGGCCTGTGAATTCACTTAGTGAGCAAGAAATCTGTGGGCTCGTGTTCTCAGGATTATTTTCATGGGCAGAAACACATTTGCAAGCACCAAGAACTTCTAAGGCTGAAATGAGTTCAGGAGCCGTACCAACAGCAATATCGAAAGGCACAGCAGTAATAAAATGTCTGGCTCCTTCTCCTGAGGAGGGGTCCTAATAAGGCACGGTGGTCGCGTGGTGCCCTGGGGGGTTGGTCCCAGGACTCCCGTGGACACCAAAACCCATGGACGCTCCAGTATTCGCAAGCAGGTGACAGCAAGGCGTGCCTGTCATCGCTTCATGCACACGGATTCAGAGCCGCGTTCGGCACACGCGGCAAATTCGAGTTTTGCTTCTGAGAACCTGCTAAGTTTTTCTCCAGGCTCAGCCCCCCAAATACTTTCCATCTACAGTTGGTGACTCCTCCCTGCAGATGAAGCCCGTGGATACAGAGGGCCGACTGTATCACTCAGCACTAGCACGAGACATGCAGGCAAACGTAGCTGCTGCTGGTTTTGTGATTTGTGCCTGCCACACCCCCAGGGTGCACATCCTTTGACAAGTGACCAACCCTCTAAGCCTAGAGAATCTTTCTCTCTCTGTGACATGGGGACAGACCTGCACAGTTCTCACCTCCCTGAAGGTTATGAAGACCAAGACCGACAGAATTTGCAAATCCAGATTGGTCATTGTCCTCTAGCAGTTAAGAATCTCCTCTGGTGACTTTGTGTCACTTACGATGCAATAGAATCAATGCTCAATTTCTTAATCGATAATGCTGCCAACCTGCTCGTATCTGGTCTAAGCAGGAAGGACTAATCTGGAGCAGACGGAAAGGAGAACCAGCTGAACCCTGATGAAGAAACGAGCCTTTCCCATCAGTGGGGGACAGCGATTTGAACCCACACACTCACCACGCCCTTGCTGCCTGGACTCAAAGCCACAGGCCAAGGGTGAAGGGTCTCATCAAGCTTATAGCTGCCAATGTCTAAACAGCAGGACATTTGACATCAAATCCGCATTCTTGCATTATCTTACAAGAAAGCCTACCAAATGGGACCACACACCCCCAGGGCCACAAGTGGGGGGTGGGGGGGAAAGGCTCTCCAGTTTACCCTAATCCCACCAGGCCAGCTTCCTCGCCGCTGGTCCTGCCAGCTATTTCTCAGCACTGATTGCCACTCCTGGTTCAGACCCTAAAACTGCCCTTCATCCCTGAAAATAAAAACCCATAATCGAATCTCATCAGGACCACATTAAAACTCTCTGAGCCAACAAAAATAAACCCAAAGAAGAATCTGAACAGAAAACACCACGTTCATGGCTCTGTGCTGGCACTGACTATAGGTCCGTTTGTTTGATCTCTCACTCTGGCTATGTTAGCTCCCTGCTGTAACTGGCTTGAGTCCTTTCCAAGTGGAATGTCATTAATAAGTAAATCTTAGTGACGAGAACTTGCCACGTCACACGGTGACAGCAGCAAAAGGACTCCAGCTTTGCTGCCCAATAAGCCGATGCTTGGACCTCAATCTCTTGCTGCCACCAAACCTGGTGGTATTTTTTAAAATGTTGGTGTGATGTCCTGACACCTCCTCCATGCCTATCAAGATATGGAATAAATCAGTGATTCTAAAACGGCTGTAAATGCCACACACAGCCTCTCAGGAGATAGTCAAACAGCCACAGTCCACTGCCCTTCCCCAGAACTGCTTACCCATTGCATTGAGATAATGGTTGAAGGCCTGGCAAGGAGGACTCGGGGTTTGTGTTGATTTGTCACAACTCATGGGTGCTGGGCTCCTGTCTGTGTCAAAAGAGAAATACCCACTGGAGGATCGAGACAGCAGGGAGGATCTTCTCACAAAGATGAAAAGCGGGGATCTGGTAGCAAAAGGCCCAGGGCTGGCCGGTGGGGCCAGCGGGCCCTGAGGGCTGCCGTGGGGGCAGCGGTCCCCTTCGCCTTCAGGATTACCTTGTGGCTCTATCTGTACAGAGCTGGGGGCCCCAGGCCTGAGCTGAGGAGGCCTCTCCGTGGGCTGTAATTGTCCACCTTCTCTGTCACACTCAGAACTTACATCAGAAGGTTGCTTGGCCATTTGGTCTTTTTTTCTGCAAGTGAAATAAAAACTGGGATTACCTTAAGCAAAATCATCACAACAAATAACTACATTAGCTGATTTTCATGTACTCCTTAGAAATTAAGAAATACTTCAACAGTAAGTATATTTCTCCGCCCATCTTCCAGATAAGAATAAAAACACAGGTAAAATAACAAAAGCGTTATTATTTGTTTTGGGGGCATTAACCTTCCTGCCACCAAACAAAACACACTGACAATGTCTATGCGGGGCTGGTGCTGGAACACGGATCGAAGTTTTGGGGGAGGCAGCGGGTCTGAAGCCTATTCACAGGGCTCTGCTCAGAGCCCACTGGACTAAGCCAGAACCTCCCGGGGACTCTGATTCCTTGGTTCCCAGGACCAGACCCTGTGCTTGGGGCACAGGAGTGCGCGCAGAGGCAGCAACTGCAGCCGGCTGGCCGCGCTCCCCGCTCCGGCCCCATTGTTCTGCCGAAAGTGCTGAGGGCAGCAAGTCTGGGGAGCTTTGGCAAGGGCCGTCCGTCGTAGTAAGTGCGTCACAATAGAGTTTGTAACTCTGAGCCGCTCGGCCCGCTCCGCTACCGCCCGCCCGTCCGAGGTCCTTCCCGCGGGGGCAGCGCAACGCACCCACCCGGCAAAACTTTCCGCAAGGCCACCCTCACTGTTAGGTGAGCACCTCCAAATAGGGGGTCCCCGAAGCTGGCCCCGGGCGCCCCGACAAGTTAACAGTAACCCCGCACGCTAGGCGACCCGGGGCGCGCGGCTCCTTCACCCTTAGATCCTCCCTCTCCCCACGAGCAAGCTAAAACTCACGTCCGACCCTTCCCTGCCGAGCGTCGCGTCCGGGCCCGGGCCC